GGTGCTGACTGGTCTGCGTGGGTATGTTACAGTTTCGATTCGATCCATTTCCTAGTAGAAACTGTCACGCATCTTGATGCAGTGTAAAGAGTGGCCTGACTTCTTCTGTCTGCCTGCAGGGCCCTGAGAAAATCTATAACAAGCCAGAACATTCAGAAAGAAAATATTATATGGAATCCTTCTGAAATACAATTCTGAAGTCTTATTTTAGACTCAGAGTGTATTTTTTTTTCTTTCGGTGTTATATCTTTGGTCATTTAGTCTTAGTTTTAGCAAGGGTTTTAGAGCACTTGCAACACAATAAGGTCACATAAGTGCCGCCGAAGATTAGAGGAGAGTAACAAATATACAACAGAAGGAGGAGAGATAAAGACGATAGTTGTTTGATAGGAAAGAAGGAGCAAACCACACCAGAGGACCCACCAACCGCCCACACTCTCGCTGGTCAGGACAAGGTTGTAAATCACGGCAAGTCAAATGAGTTTGAGACGCACATGGTACGTTCTATTGGCCTGCATACATCGTGTAGAAGAGTATAGCAATGTCAAGTGAGACATCGTTGTTGAATCAGCCGCTTGTCAAAATAATGAAATCAAAGAAATCGCCATTTTTTGGTCCGAATGGCAATTTTTTCTAATTTTCTTTCATCAGATCAACACCTTTTATTTCCTTTTAAAAACACAGTTTTGTGAGGATTTTACTGAAAAACACGAAGAGCGTAAATTTTCAGTTTCCGAGGACTCTCAGGCTATGGGAGTTACCACACTTTGGCGGCCATTTTCTCGCTAATTTTACCTTTGAAACCAAACGACGTTGACCTCCTTCCATCGGAAATATTTCGACTTCTATTCAACATAGATGGATCCTTTTTTTACCAAAAGGAAGGCAGATGAACAGGCTTTAAGATGATACCAATAAACTCATATGCTAAACAATTGACGAGTGCCTGATTCCATCACGTCATGACAATATATCGACAGGAAACCATCGTGAAAGAATTCCCTGAAGGAAAGATGTAGGGCAGAAGAGTCAAGGGAAGACAAAGAATAACATAAAAACAGGCTCTGGCCTGGATATGGCAGAAAGTGTAACGGCAGCCCACGACCGTGAAGGATGGAGGGTCATTACAGGTCAACCTCTGAGTCAGAGATGACACCTCCAGGTATCCAGGTATCAATAATGATTGGTCGTAAACTATCACCAATGCTGTATCGTTCCATTGACGCTATAAAGATCAAACGGTGGGGACGTAAGACTTCTACACCTCTTTTTTTTCTACATTTCTAAATTCAACAAAGTCTCTCC